TTAAACTAGATGCAGACACTGCCTGATGGGAAAAGGAAGTAAGAGCATGTTAAAGCATAAAAGCAGTGGATTACACGTGTAGTAGTCAAAGTAGTTCAGCAGTAGGAACGGTGATGTCATTATATTAATTATAAACAATGTAAGCTCAATAATATTCATGTCATATATACTCAACTGAAATATTGGTCTGCTTTTAAATTAGTCGTCGGAAAATGTAATCTCAATACATTTGGTTACAACTATTTTAGTCAAAATTTTTACTAAATTTATGGTAGACTAAATTTGTCGTTCTTCCTCTCTGTTTTAATGTCCAGCTCGAATATGAGCTATTTACATCACGTCACTACCAGGACCCTGTAATGTAGTGACGTCACTACCAGGACCCTGTAATGTAGTGACGTCACTACCAGGACCCTGTAATGTAGTGACGTCACTACCAGGACCCTTCGTTGACGATCTCTTATAGCTCTGTTTAGCTTTTTATAACCCCAACTCCGCCAACTAAACGAGAAAAAAAGAGTGTTCCACTCGTGTAGCGGCTTTTCTGTTTAATATGGTAGGGTTTTTAATACCTTGTATATTGTATATTAATAATTTCTGGATTCTCTAAGATACTTCCGCTCCCCTAATAGGCCGGTGACCATTGGCTTTAATCGTTGAACATTTGGCTTTCTTACATACTAACGTATCCATTGATTTACTATCATTAAATCTGTTAACGATGATTTCATCTCGTTAACTAAGCTGCTTCCAAATTGTGGCGATCCTACATGTAATATCATTATCAAAATATTGGTACCTCTGAAATATTCTTTATTTTGTTTTTCATATTTAACAGGCCCAATTATTGCAACATCAACCAAATATAAATAATGGTGCATTGATGCACTTAATCCTACAAGTTGTGTTAATAATATGTAAGAATCAGTTTGTGACTACTTTAGGGCCTAAAAAGTCATTATGGTAAATTGTAAGAGTATAAGTAATATAAGAAACTCCCTGAAAGTCATAGATACTTTGGTGGTTCTGTGAATGAGCTCAGAAATAACCACTAGAGTCACAAGTATGTTGCAATGCCTTGCCTTAGAGTGCTCAGTTTTGTTAATATTGTCCATATAAAGCATTTAAGTTATAATCTATAACTTAACTGTAAGTATATGGTCACTAGTTGAAGTACTGATAAACAGTTAACATTATATTGTAATCTCGTGATTCTCGTCTACCCTCCTTTGCACCTCAGCAATATCTCTTAAATTAGATACATTTTCAGGGAAGTCTTAATTCAAACCTCTTAAAATCAAATCAAGTTTACCAATGGCGACAGACTAAAAATTAAGATCAATTCTACAGAGTTAGTTAAGGAAACTACAGTAACTGCAGACACCACGGTTAAGGAAACTACTATAGGGGCATTATATTGTTGTCTAAATATACCTTAGGGCCAACAAATTTGGGTCACAATAAATTTGGTTACTATAATTTTGGTTACCATAATTTTGGGCACAAATTTCGCAAATTTTTAGTCTACAACAGTTTTAGTCGCATTTTTTGACTTTTCGAAACCATTTTCCATTCCATATATTTGATTTTTCCATTATTAAGCTAGTTTTTTTTCAATTTCGCATATAAAGTCATACTTTATAGTTTATCGTTAGGGGTGTTAATTAAATGATTTGTTGCAATAAAGAAATAAAACAATTAATTTCTAAAATAAACTGCTATCTATCGATTCAGCAATGAGCAGTGAGCACACGTCTGAGCTGTTACAGATTAATTTTCAATGCATTACTCAGGAATTTCAATTACATCAGATCCAGAGTCTGTATCACTAAGATCTTGTGTACAGTTAGCGATATTTAACTGTTTATCATAAACATATGATAAAGAATGTAAGCTCAACAAAATTTAATTCATATATGCTCTACTAAAATTTTGGTCTACTTCAAAATTAGTCGCCGAAAAATTTAGTCACATATAATTTGGTTTACAACAATTTTAGTCAAAAGTTTGACTAAATTTATGGTAGACTAAATTTGTCGTTCTTAAGGTAGTCTCAAACTCCCTGACTCCCTGACTCCCTGACTCCCTGACTCCCTGACTCCCTGACTCCCTGACTCCCTGACTCCCTAACTCCCTGACTCCCTGACTCCCCCTGACTCCCCCTGACTCCCTGACTCCCTAACTCCCCCTGACTCCTTACTCCCTAACTCCCTGACTACCCCTGACTCCCTAACTCCCTAACTCCCTGACTCTCCAACTCCTTAGTCTCAAACTTCCTGACTTCCCGACTTCTTCTCAATTCCTCTTCCTCTGTCAGTAATGACATGAATATGCAGAATATTTTACAATGAAGGGAAGATCCTTTTACCTGGTTCAAATGCCAGCTAACCAGTAACTGTGCTACACTAAAACACCTAATAAGGCTTTAGGAGAACGAAGCATCTAAAAGTAGTCCTATAGTTAAGTACAGTTACAGCTGAAAAGCAGTGCATGCGATTTTCATTACTTTACAGACCACTTTTCTATTCGGTCACCAGATTAAATTTTGCAGTTCATGGATGAAGTTCACTTGATAATTTTTTTAAAGCAATAACTTTATTTACCTCGATCAACGTTTGCTGGTAAAACGCTCATTTTTGAGACCCTTTGCTTTTATGTGATTAGTTATCTAACGATTCCAGTAAACATTATGATGATCATAATGAGGGGGAGGGTGGTGGGGTTACTGCCTGGTTACCTGGTTATTACAGCCAAATGGCCGCACCTATCACAGTACTTGCAACCAAGACCGTGGACATTTACACCCACTGTACTCACTTCTCTTGAAAAAGGGTACACTCTACCCAATTTTGAGTTTTGGTGACTCAAACTGTTCATCAAATTTAAACCTCCACGTTGAACGCCATTACTTTGTTTATCGACAATTTGATACACAACACACATTTGTAGTGAGATAATAAGATCTCCAGGACTGCAATATAGTGATCACGTGACCACGACTTGTTTAATTCTTGAGATTGGATTGTATTGCTGACGTTATAAAATATAGCTAGAGAGTCTATAAAGTAGGCTCGTTTACGCTTGTACTTGATAGGCTCCTCTCTTTTCCCTTCAGTATCTTGCCATGTCCTCTGAGGGCTGTCATCACCGGAACAGTACTGCGTCCCTTCTCAGCATTAGGTTAGCTGGTGGACATAATTAGTGGACATAATTAGTGGACATAATTTCTTGGTCACATTTTCAAGCTTTATTGTAGTTCGGTCTGTGCAACCACTGAGTATAATTATTGCACAAGCAAGAACTGTAATAATATCCTCTATCGCAGATTTATAAAAAGCTTTTATTTTGTGCTGTACTTGGTGGAGCATGGAAATAGGGAGTTGTTTAGGACATTTATATTGTATAGTACCTTGCCAGGGTAACCCTGGTCATTAGGAAAGTTCACACGAGATAGACCACGTTTTTCCCAATTTAACTTGAGGCTAAAAATTGAGGCTAACGACTCATTTTACATTTTGTTTTCTAATGACAGCTTCCAAGCATGCAATAAAATTTTAAACGTGTTTAATTAATCCGAAGAGGGACATTTTTACGCTAATTGAGGGGAAATGAGGCTAACAAGTCATTCCTAATTTTTAAATTATATTTGAATAATAACGTCTATCAAAGTATCCTCTGACCTAAAATACATGATGGATGCTCTAGGTCGAAGGCCGGCCCAGCCAACCCCTTTTTTCCTTTTAACGGAGGGTAAAGTGAGGCTAACAGATCATTTCTAATTTTTGAATTATGTTTGAACAATAACGTCCTATAAACTATCCTTTGACCTGGTATACATTATATGGCTACTTTAGGTCGATGGTAGACTCCATCTACCCTTTCTGTCTTTTGATGGAGGGTAAAATAAGGCTGACTATCAAGGTTTTGTTCATTACTTGTTCTACTGCTTCTTCGGACTAGCCCTTAAAATTGTTTGAAAACCTCATTTCACCCTCTCTAAAGATGGTTAGCCTCATTTTCACCTCGAATATTTGAAGCTTAGATCTCGACTAAGTATAATCCCAAGGAATTTCATGTGCAACAGGATATCAAATAACTTGTGAGTTGTGACAGTACAATATCTAGGGACTGAAGATCAACAGTATCTGTTAGCCCCAATTTCGCCTCCCGGAGGAGATAGTTATGATAAAGTCTCGATAACCTGCGGGCTACAATTACAAGTTTATTAGTGTGTCTATAACCTGTTTCCGTACATTAAAGTAAAAATGCGGTCGAAACTCGAATTCTTTATTGGCCTCATTTTGGCCTCCTACAAGTAGACTCGGAGATTTCTGAAATTTCTAGCTTGACGACGATGAATCAATCTTTATTGTGACGCATTAGATAGTCACAATACCGAACCTGCTCGAAAATATAGACAAAAGTATACTTGTTAACCTCATTTCACCCTGTCCAAAGGTGGTTAGCCTCATTTTCACCTCGAATATTTAAAGCTTAGATCTCGATCAAGTATAATCACTATGGATTATACTTGCAACTTGGATATCATGGACGTAACATGAGAAACTTCTTTTTTAAAGTGATGGGGCTAATTCGTTAGCCTCAATTATCCCTCGCAGTTCAATCACTCCTACTGAGTCTAGTGAGTGAGCTAGGAGGTCGCCGAACATCTCATTGTAAAGCCGTATCGATTTTCATACGCATAACAAAAATCAAATGTGTAACTAAAACAGAAATGAATTTACAGAAGTTTTAAATTTGTTGTCAAAAAACGAACTTTTAGGGGTGTTTCTAATGACCAGGGTCAGTATGTAATAAATGTATATTGGGTATATTGTATACTATGTAGTATGTATACTATGTAATATGTATAATATGTATTCTATGTATACTATGTATACTATGTATACTATGTATACTATATATACTATGTATACTATGTATACTATGTATACTATGTTCCAGGTTCCTGACATAGGTTGAGAATCTTTCCTTTTCAGGTATGTGGAAGACGTCAACGACAAGCCAAAGATCGTAACTGAAGTGAGATCACCCAGGGCTAAAAAGAAACCTAGAAGGGTACCAATATCTTTTTAACCTCGTTTCTGTTCATTGTCGGTTTAATCGCTACGATATTACTTTCAAGTCGAGTTCTAGCTGAATAAAATGTAGCTCTTATCTCAAGTCACTCTTGCGCTTACTAATTGATAAACTTTAACAGATAAAGCGAACAAATGCGTTCTACTTGAACCGAGCTACAGTGACAGATGAAGAACTGGATCACAGACGATCCTGTACTTCTGCAGCGTCTGACGACTCCAGTAGACTGTCCATATCTAATGCCAGTGTGGGAGAGTAAGTTTCTTAGTCGCCGTCAGTTTCGTTACTTTTTGAATTAATAACCAAATATGGACGTTTGCAATCTCTCAAATTTCAATTTCACGTTTTGTGTGCGAATGTAATTTTTGTCTTTCCGATTAAATTTATTTTTTGATAACGAAATGTAACCCCGACAGGTCAGCAAGTGCACGGTCTCTGTGGTGTTCACAATCTACAGACACGGACCAGGGGTCATGTGAGTCTCTGAATGTGCGAACAAAGAGACGGATGAAACTGAATTCTGCTCTTATCATGGGACAGAGAGATATTCTCATCAATCTAAAAAAGAAGATGAAGAAGAAAACTCCCAAATATCAGGTTATTAGTTTGCTGACTGTTCTGTGTTAATTTTATCTTGGATAAGGTTTATTTTTTGAGTGAGAGGCATACTGTGTAATCACTGTTCACTCAATTGATATCTTCAATAATGAATAATGACGCGTTAAATCACCTCCAGGGTTCAATAGATATGAATCAGAAGAAATGTTTGACAATATTGGGTAGAGACGAGCTGACGGACCCTAAAAGCGCACGACTTATCAAATCAAAAGCAGCTCATCACTCCTTCGAATCAAACCAAACTAACTTTCTCGTAAGTAATGCTAATTCGCTTAGTAAGATATGGAATGTGTTTAATCTATTTTCAGTTCATGTTAAATTCCAATTAAACTGATTGTGGAGTGAGTTAAAGTTTCGTTGCGATAAATTTATTTGATATTTTCTACTGAAAAACAAAAACCCAACAGTACTGCGGGGAATGTGGTGACATGATTATGAAAGGGTCCTTGGTGATTTGTTCAAACGAGTCCCCTCCTAAGATGGTTTGGCACCCGGGCTGCTTCAAGTAAGTATAATATCACTCCTAAGTGGTAATACTCCATTACTCCTGTCGTTTGATATTATACCCGGGAATGTTTCACGGTTACAGGTTTGGACTGTGTATAAACGTTTTGTTGTCGTGAAATTCAAATTCTAAGAAACCGAGATTTCTTCAGAAGCCGACAAAATTAAACTGCATGAGAGATTAGCCAGAGACTTGAAGTTTCACCAGCAGTTTATTAAATTCATAATAACGAATATTTTCGAATGATAATGCCGTTTAAGACATAACTTCTTACAACCTGTCGTCTGATAAATGGCGGGTAAGGTTATTAACTCACTTTTACAGGTGTTACACATGTGGCAGACATCTCGTGAACTTGATCTATCATCCTTTTGAGGGACGTAGATATTGTTCAAAGCACAAACCCTACCTCCCTAAAATATGCAGCTACTGTATGGAGGTGAGAATGTCAGAATATATCCTCTGTTATCTTTATTTATTTGATACACGTTGTATACCATTTTCAAAGAAAAGTCAAAAGTGGTTTACAACGTGTATCAATTATTTATTTATGTTACGTTGCAAAGTAAAAGTTTATGAATATTTGGTTTGTTTTTGTTTTAATGTTGCTATTTTCGGTCAATGTGTAAAATTTCAAAAAATAAGCTGACTTCTATTTAATCCTGATACTGTTCAGGAGATCAATTTCGAGACGTTTACACGAGCAAATGGTCGATATTACCACCCGGAACACTTCCAATGTTGGCAGTGTGCGGTGGTGTTGTCAGGAGAAAAGTATTACGGTTGTGGTGTCTACCCAATGTGTCTCAGATGTTATGATGTACATCTGGCTAAACCATGTCGCTCCTGCAAGGGAGCTATTCAGGTTAGTTTAGTATATAGTATACAGGTATACCATTATATCTAGTTAACTTACACATATCACGACATTAGACTAGGAAGTTCGACTTGTTGATTCAACAAATTCTGCACCACTTTGTTTCTCCTAATAAAATCCTCCCTTAAATCTTCTGTCTCCCAGATCGACACTCCATTTTACTCTCTGGGGAGGAAGCGCTGGCACGCGGCAGCCTCCTGCTTTAAATGTTGCGGCTGCCAGGCCAGCTTAGTGGGCGCTAAGCTCATCACAACAAAAGGAGAACTCTTCTGTAACCGACAATGTTTCTCTGACATGGTCAACCGACGCGCCAGTTTCGGCTCAGCATCTGCATTATATTAATGCTCTGTTTATGTTTTTGGTACAAGACATGTAGATCTAGATGATGGTTGGGAGGTTAATCATATTTGTTTGAACATATGACGGTGATTCTGGGTTTCGATTGGTCAATCCTGGAAACTAATTGGTCAAACCAAGTCTTTATTTAGAAACAACAAGAATCCCCACCATTGTCAAGATCTATTTGATTGTATAAATTGTTTATATTTAATAATGTGGTTGTTTGAATGTAGCTACAGACTTGTTTAGCTCGCTGAATGTTTTTACTCAGAGACTTTGGGGCCAAAAATTAACATTTTGGTATCTTAAATATGTAATTGTTATTGATACAAATTTTCTTGACATGCTATAAATGATGGTTTTTATTTGCAATTGGAAACAATCTGGACGGAATGTTTTAAGTTTGAGGAGCATAATATTAATAGTAGTACGTGATCATTAGATGAGAATTTGAGTAAGGCTGTGGGAATCTTCTAGAACGACGTTTCTTTGGCAGCGATCCTTATTTAAATATCATATATAATAACATTTATAAACAAAAGAGCACCTAAAGAGGCTCAGCAAAGTGCTGGCCTATTTACGCTTACGAAGACTCATTCGTTCAATATGTCTCAAAGTAAATAAACTCCTCCATCCTACTCTATCTCTTGCTAAGTTCACTAAGTTGGTAAAATCATCTTCATTTTTCAAATAAATTTGTCTCTTAAATAGGTCCTTTTTCATAATAATATCATACAAATTAGTCCTGTGTCTACCCACTCGTCCCTTTAGTGTTTGACATCCTAGTGTAGCAAATAACAGAGACTGGTAGGCAGGCGTGTCGTTGTCACTGCGTAGAACATGACCTAGCATTGTCCACCGTGCCTTTTCCACTCTCTCGGAAAGGGGCCTGGTCTGGGTACGAGCGTAGAGGGCCTTGTTAGATATTGAGCTAGGCCAATAGATGTGTAGGATGCGCTTGAGGTGCTTCCTCTGAACAACATCTACAGACTCTAGAACATGCTGAGGTACGGCCCAGCAGCAGCAGTTGTACAGGAGCACTGATACTACTAGTGAGTCGTAGAGTTTGATCTTTCTCTTCTCAGTTATCTGACTCCTCTCTGATCCCTGGCACCACAGCTTGTCAAATGACCAGAAGGCAGAGTTAGCTTTATTTATTCTATTAGTAACATCCTGCTCTGATCCAAGCTTAGTACCAAGAAGCGTCTCGTTTCTCCACTCCTCTTTTCCTCTTAGTTCATTACCCCACTCGTCACAGGCACCAACTTCTTCTAAATATACTCTAGTAAACTTTGTCTTTGTGTCATTGACAAAGAGACTCCATTCACTGAGAATATTCTTGGAGATCTGAAAGATATCCTGTAACTCCTCCATATCTTCACCAATCTCTTCTACATCGTCTGAATAGCCGGACTCAAGAGGCATGTGGTTATCGGCTATCGGAGGGTTGGGTCTTGAGGGGAGGACTGCTCTTATGTGCACTACAGCTCCAGCTAGATTGAGGGTAAACAATTTACCAGCTGTGCTGTCTCCTTGGGAGGCTCCTATGTTGAAAGAGAACATCTCTGAGTCAGTAGAACACACTCTGACTACTAGAGTGGTGTTAGCCATGAGGTATTGTACAAGCCTCAGGTCGTCTCTGGAGCATCCTGCAGCTTTTAGTAGTCTGATTGTTGTACCTCTGCGGATGGTATTGAAGGCAGCTGACATGTCGATACTCACTTTGTTCCATTCAAACTCCTTCTTCATTACTACAGATATGAGCATGCTCTGTGCCCAAACTAGGTCGGCACAGCTCCTGCCAGCTTTGTAGGCAGCTTGGAACGGTCCGGTGAAGTTGTCCACAGCTCTCTCTATTCTGTTTAGCACTATCAGTGACAGGATCTTTCTAGAAACATTCAGCAGGGTCAATGGTCGTATCGACTTAACTGGGCCGCGAGTTTTACCAGGCTTAGCCAGTGGTGTGAGGATGCCTGCTCCTATTGCTTCAATGTGAATGTTTTTCTCGAAAGACTCGTTGAACACTTTAGCTAGCTCTTCATGAAGGAGGGGGTTGTTCAGGGCTTTCATGACCTCGCCAGGAACTTTATCAATACCCACTGCTTTACCAGACTTGAGTTTACTGATGGCTCTCTCTATCTCTGCAACGGTGATGGGACTGTTAAGGCTAGATGGGGGGTCAAGGAAGGCAGGAAGGGTAGGCTCATCAGCGTCGTTGAACTCAGCTTCAAAGTACTCCTTAATAATCCTCGCTTTCTCCTCATTAGTACCTGCGATATTCCCAGCAGAGTTGTGGACGGTTAGAGCTGGTCTAACATATCCTTTGGCGAGTATCTTAGAGGCTCCAAAGTATCTCCGGGCGTCGTCTGTGTTGTTTATCTCTTCGACGAGTGTGTCAGCACTGCGGTTGTTGATATCTCTGAGTCTCTTTGTGATCTTACGTCTTAGCTGGTTGATGTTAGTCTTGACATGCTTCCTGTTGGTCGGGAGTTTGTTTAAATATCATTTTATCAGCTAATTACCCTCCATTTTTACCACCCCACAATAATACACTGTATTACACCCCAACAATCACATTTTTATACTTTTACTCAAATTCCTACCAAACAGCTCTGTACTTTACATTTACCACTTTGTTTCACCCGACCACTTCACTATCAGTTGAAGCGTTACTTGGCCGCGTGTTTTGAGTCAGTATGTCCAATTTCCACATCGGATTTTTGGGTAATGAAAAAGCAGATGAGCTGGCCAAGATTGGCAGTTGGCACAACCAGTGAATCCACTTTGAAGTTCCCAATTCCACAATCTTACATCAAACGCCTGATCGACGACAAAGTCACCAGACTAAATCAGGAAACCTGGTTAACTAATGGTCCCAGACACACCAAACTGACACTCGTTCACAAACACATCAACATCATAAAAAATCTTAACACTACACTCAGTAACAACAGACAAAATTATTGAACTTCAGTGCACCTCATCACGGGACATTGTGGCCTAAACAAACACTTCACTTCATTTGCAAATCAAGCACCAGTGCTGGTCCTATGTGCGGCGACGAAAAGGACACTGTCTCACACTTTTAGGACAGTGTCCGGTTATTGCCCAAATAAGAGGGCAATATTTCCAGGACTATGACCTCTCCGTCAATGACATATTTGACAACCAACACATCTCCTCTATTGTCAACTTCGCAAACCGCACCAAACGCTTAATTGTGCCCGAGGAGCTGGACCAGACCGGTGTGACATAGCGACTACTCACATGTCGTTTTAGCTCACCTTTCTCGTCCACACCCAGCGTTAATTTATGACACATCTCAACACACCATCATCCTCCATTATAGTTATACATCCTCCTATAGGACTGCCATACCCCAGAGGTTAGCAAAGTATCCATATGCTATCCTCTCGTGGGCCACAAATGCTCAGCCTCTCCACAAAAAAATACGGTAAAAAGTCCGTCATTTAGTCTTACGACCCCTAAGATTTATTAGCCATCCCGCCCGTCTAATAACTAATTCATCTCAATTTCCGATTACACCCTATACTAACAATACTTTTGAAAATCTCTAGCAGTAATCTGAATCACTATCGTGTCACGTGTTGTTGAAAAAGCATTAGACCTCCTGTCTTGGGTACAGGCCAACTTTATCTGCACCCATACCGAACCATGCTTACCTTGACACTGATTTAATTTACCTTGACACTGATTTAATTTAATTTAATTTACCTTGACACTGATTTAATTTAATTTGACATTGTAAAGTTTCTACCAATTACTGTTACCTAGTTGATAATATTGCTGCATGAAGGTAAAAGGTACACGTGCATATTAGAATGCAGCTGTACTCTGTAGGGTCAGCACTCACCTTCGTTCTGTAAAGGTCTTCAATTCTCCGCCTGAATGACGTCAACAATCTCCATTGCTATAACTGTAAATTAATCACAACCTCCGGGAGATGGGACTTAAGACCTTGGAAACTCCGCACCTGTTAGTCATTAGCTGGCTACTAGATTATTATATTTGTTAGGAATTATAACTCCACTTTGTAGCTCACATATATTAACTGTAAACTGATAAACTTGCCGAGAAAGTTGATATGGCCTGCTAAAGTTGTATAATTCACATGAATGGAGTTAATGGAATACAGTTCAGCGACAGAGCACAGCTGGCGAGCTTTACTAGACGTAGCGGCTCACACGTGCGTTAGTTAAGCTCTTCATGCTCTGCTGAATTTATCGCTGCCGGTGCAATCCTTAAAGGTCCTTAATGCACATATTAGTGACTTGCTTTTTGTACAACTTGATTTGCCGGCCCATGGAGCACTGGTCATCCTGTGTGAAGTATGAAGCTGCACCCGGTCATTATAACCACTCATCTCCCGTCGCACATATATAATTTTTGTCATTGCCAACGAAAAAAATATTTTTCCCAATACTCAAAGTCAAACGTTATGATTCCACCACTCTGATTTGGACGCTTTTTAGTAAACATTTTCGCAACATTTCCAGATATTTTAATTGGTTCACTATTTAATTTATTGTCCATGTGTGAAGATCAAAAAATAGTGCAGACCAAGTCTCTGTCATCGATGCCAAAGTACGACGATGAAGCGTTTGGGTCTGCTCTGATAATATTCTCAGTGATCTGCGCGGGAGCCAATGTTGCCCTAATCTGCTCCTTCATATATCACAAGAAGTACAAAAAGAATTATCATCTCGCTTACCTGAACTTGGCCGTGTCAGATCTAGTTTTAGCTCTCTTTGGATTTTCTGTCAGAGGCCCGGGTGAGTACTGAGCAACTAGCAAATTATACTTATAGAGATTTGGTTAATTAACTGTCTCAGGGAAGCAGCTCCCTAGTGAACTGTTTACTTTTCTGTCATACGCAATAAGCCGTAGTACATACATTAACATATTACATTGCGATGAAACCTACATTGCGACGAAAACTGCGATGAAATGCCGCGCATTTATAATTATATTAGCATTTATAATTATTTATAATTATATAGGCGTACGTGGTACGTTTATAGTTATATAATTATAGGCGCGGCTTTTAAACTTTTTGAAACTTTTAGTACCAAATAGATGATTTTAGAAGAAAATAACTTTAAATAATTTGCTTGCTCTAACACAAACGTCTTTGTATAAATTTTGTACAAATTTGTACACATTTTTTTACAAATTTTGCGTCTTTAAGTATTATAAATTTGAAACTAAAATGATTAAATTAGCAGTATTTCAATGAGAGACTTTACCAAATTTATAAAAATGTCCAAATAAAAAAGAAAATATCTTTTTTCGAAAGTGCTTTACTGTTTACTTTTTAAAAAAAGTTCAATGTAGCAAATCTTATTGTTTTTATTTTTATTTTTATTTTCATAATATGACGTCAAATCCTTGGTTGACGATGTCAACCCATCGAGATCGTTGCTTTGCGAAGCAAAGCAACGATCGACAATGCGAAGCAAGGACGATGCGAAGCAAGAACAATGCGAAGCAAGAACGATGCGAAGCAAGAACGATGCGAAGCAAGAATACTAGTTCGCGCGGCGCGTCGAATGTCGAAGTGGCGCAGTCCTCCTTAAGTCAAATCGCGAATCCCGGCACAAAAGGTTTTGGTGTATGTCCCCTTAAAATACTTATAAACACAAAATTTCAGTTATAATCGGTGGTTCATCCAAGATTCTCTGCCAGATTTCTATCCCCCTGAGCACAATGATAACAATCTGGAACCTTCTCGCAGTAGTTCCTATAGCTTACGATAGACTTATTGCTACCGTCAAACCGACGAGGTGCGTTCATCAAGAAATATTGTGAGAGTTAATTTTATCTCTGTCACTGACTACTACTTAGTCAGCTTTGTTAATTAAAATTTGTCTCCTCGAATTCAATTCGTGGTAGCAGGTGCTTTGGCCAATAATCACGGTACACATTTACAGATACAACGAGAGAACACACACTACACGGCTCCGAGTTATGATCATCTCGTTTTGGGTGTTCGGAGTGGTGTACACTGGAATCGTTAAAATCTATCAGCATCTTAAAGGCCGAACTTTACACCAGTTCGATTACGAGGCACGTGAATGCTACTTTGATTGTTCTTACCACAAAACTCTTCTCTACTACACCAACCTTACTCTGTCCAGGATTCTTCCTCTCCTTTTTAATGTCATAGTTTACGTGCTAGTTATATACGTTATTAGAACAAGAAACATTTTCAAGTCAAAGAAAAGCTATGAAATCTTGGTACGAGCTCTCCTGATATGTATCACTTTCACAATGTCCTGGCTTCCGGGCGAGATTGTGTATGGGATGGGAGTGAAAGATAAGGAGATCCTACAGATTACACAATTCTGTTTTTACATCAACTGTTTGAGTGACCCACTACTCTATACTTGTACTTCTAAACTTTTTTACAAGTTCTGGAAAAAGTTGACCAGCTCTACACACCGAGGGACAACTCGGAGGAACACTCGGAGGAACACTCGTGTCACTCACCCAAAATACACACGGAAACTAGAACATTCTAAAATAACATCACCCTGCCAGTCTCCAACTCCTGCCCAGAAAAACGTTGCAACTTCTAAGGATGATGGATGTATTGTGTTAGGTTCCCCATTCTGCCAAGATGCTAATCGCAAACATTCTCTGCTGAACCCTTAGCGTTAGGAGTAGTCGATTTGCTTATAAACTCTACCGTATAAGTTCCTTCCAATAGAAAAATGTTTATCATATGTTCAACTCTGTTAATAAAACTCACAATTATTTGATTTCAAATTAAAATTCGAAATTTCATTTCATTTTTAATAATGTTCCTCAAATCAAAATGTTTTTTTTTGCCCAAATTTAAAAAGTAGTCAACAAGATTTCTGTTCAATGTTTATTAACAAACAAAATGAAATAATGATTTTCATATTTCTGATTTGAAATAAAGTCTGATTGGAATCAAGATAATCTTCAAGTTTCATAATTCTGAGACCTGATTCTGTACTTTTCCTTAAACTCGTCCTCTTCTGCTGCTGTGTAGTCGGTGGGATTTGGAAGGGGTATGTTTCAAACGAAGAGATGACATAAAATTCGCTGCTTCCGCTGAAATAGTAACAATTTTCACACCGCACACTCTCAAAAAGTAGTTTTGCATTTTTGAACATTTGCAATAATACGTAATGAAGAGGGATCCGAGTGTGAGCCCCCCCCCCCCCCCCCCCCCCCCTTACTTACAACAAGAACACTCCTGTTTTTCGTTCTCCACAACACTTCCCTCCAATTTACAGGTCCGAGTCTGGACACATCTGTTATTCTTCTTCCTGAGAGAGCCAACTTTATTTCAATTTGCTTCATCTTACAACTTCAGCTACTTCGTGTAATTAAAAAAAGTAAAAAAAGTAATACAGTACAGTCGCCAGAAACAAGCGTGGGCCATCTGGAACTATCTGCTATATTAGGCGTGAGAGTGTAACAGTGTAACAGCGTAACAGTGTGACAGTTTGAGAGTGTGACAGTTTGAGAATGTGACAGTTTATGAGTGTGACAGTTTGAGAGGGTGAAAGTTTGACAGTGTGACAGTTTGAGAGTGTGACAGGGTGACAGTGTGACAGTTTGAGAGTGTGACAGTGTGACAGTTTGAGAGTGTGACAGTTTGAAAGTGTGACAGTTTGAGAGTGTGACAGGGTGCCTGTACCTAACACAATTCGACCATGCTCCCCATTCGCACTCATCCTCCTCCTCTTCTGGCGGATCTTCTCTTTCACACTCCATTTGGACTGGAATAAAACACAAATCTTAATACTGCCCTGCCGAGTGAGTAAAGAATGGGAGGTCAATTAGACGATACTCGTAATCTAAAGTCTAAACCCCCCCCCCCATCTCTGGGGATACTAACAGCTAGAGTAGTCCTCGGAGCAGATGTCTTCAAAGGATGTTTCCAAGTCGTACTCATCGCCCAGGTAATCTGAAAAAGGAGACGTTTTAATAAGTTGTGAAAAACATCATAATATTCTCATGCGGTTGTTACAACTGCATATCATATATTTGTTCAATATAAAATAGTGAGCATAAGATATACTGTTAATACTCCTTTATTTTGAACTATTGAACATTAAACTCACTAGCTTCAAGAAGAATAGTGGCAAGCTCGTGGAATTCGTCGAAGACATCTATCTTGGTAACAAACTCCATCCCTGATATTCCTTTCAGCTCAGCCTCGTTTACATATTTCGTTACTCCGAGTGCCACAATGTCGATACCATCTTCTCTCCTAATACCCAAATGGTTTATAATATCACACTTAAATCCATATTGAAACACTTTCTTCTTGAACACTAGATTCTTGCTTAATGTGCCTGACACTTGAAGCTGAATGGGACAAATAGTTTGTTATAGAACTCGATAATCAGTTGATGTCTGCTGAAGTTTCTTACAAACCTCATTTGTTCTGCGAAAGCAACAGGACTTCCTCCAGTGTTTGACTTTCCATCGGTGATCAAAATAGCCACTTTCTTGTAACTTGCTGCAGCTTGCAGCATTTGTCTTGCTACCTGGATATTAAAATCAAGTCGTTTAAATATCAGGGGAATGCTTGATAACTTCAAATTAAACTTAATAATCCAGGAAAACAATTAATATTTCACCTTGAGGGCGCCGTTAGTGTTAGTAGAGCCGGCCCTGTACTGCATCAGCCTATCATCAAACCTGTCCACGACTCTGCAGAAAGAGTTGTCACAGCAGGGGTCTACCTCCACATGTACTCGTGTTGAGTAGGAAACTATTCCTGTGCAGACCTTCACACCAGCATCGTGTGCTTTTACTGCCATCTGAAGAGGGACTGGTGTGTCATGTGAAACAATTGGATGAGCGAGAACAGAGGAATGAGTCACTCTTGATCAAAATTATACTTATAGTATAGCACAGGGTTCCAATGCTCTATCTTACAGTGGCCACGATCTTACCATTAGTGATATTGACCACAGCCCCCTACGAAGAAGAAGAGTCACTCTTGATCAATATTATATATATAGTTCACTGATTTATCTAACATAAACATAATTGTGGTCGTACTGTCGTAGGTAAATGCTAATGAGACTAAAACACGTGTAACTGACTCACAATTTCAAGAAGAGTCTTAACGAAGGACAGCTCTAGTTGGTAGTCCTGATAGCCAACACTGCCAGAGGAATCCATAATCAGGACTAGATTCAGATGACACTCAACAGCTGAGGAAACAGATAATTGAGTAACCATTATTTAGAAAAACTGCTTAAATTTGCTTCTCGTAAAGCAATTCCTTGCATGATTGCACAAGTAGTCAATGTGGTCAAATTGTCGCACAGACCTTAGTAATTGGTTCTACTTTCAATAATAACAAAAGAATGGACGAACCTTGACAAGCCTCCACTACTGGGAGGCCCTCGTTTTCACTCGGACGATAGAATGGTGCACGTTGTTTAGGTGCTTGTTTTACAGACATATGACTCAGCTCCTCAAACGAGTAGGAAGTATGGCCCCTATCATTGTTATCAGAGCTGAGTTCCTCTACGCGCATGTCGCTTGGTCTTCTTTGAATGTGACTCCTGATTTTTGAATAGCATATCATTGAAAGAATAGATATTATTAATCTGCAATGGGACCATTCACGTATAACGCTGCTAAACTTTTGTACAAGCTCGATTCGCTTCTAGGACCTAGGTTCGGTTATATAGTTGAAGCCGCTTAAACAAAAACAACGTTGCCAGACGCCTGGCCTGACACACAATATAATAAATGAGGTCGTAACATGAGACAAAGCGAAATGAACCGAACCTGTATAAAAATTTAACATAGTAACTAGTTTAAAAGCTTTTGCCAATTATGCAAACAGACCTTGAACGAGAATCTATAAAATGAAATGAAGCTGTTAATTAGCTAAATTTTATTTACCCTTTACGATTACGACTAGATTTCGAAGCGCTCCTGTGATCTTCAGAGTAAACCATCATCTCTACAGGCCCTTCCAATTGCTCCCTCGAACCAAAGATGGATTGTTGTATTGCTTCTGCTGCAGCTTGCCGATTGCCACTGTAATTTGACCGTCACCGTTAATTTTTTGCAGTACTTAACTTTTTTAAATCTCATCTAGCACTTAAAACGTTTTAATTGAGAAATTGACGGTCAACCGTTTAGTTGAACGGTAAGCTGGAGAAAGTCCAATCACTGAGAAAAGAGTTGATCGCAATGTCTTATATATTCCGAAAAGCGTATAATGTAACAATGCTAACCTGCAGCCGGAGAGGACGGCGAGAAGTACCACAAAATACAACATGACTAAAGAAATAAACCTGACTCACCACCCTGAACCTCCTGCCCCCTAATCTAATCGAATTTGTAGCCCATTATTATGATGAGGTGGGAGCGTGTAACTTAATATCCAGGAAACAACAGCTCGGTGTCTTACTGAGCGTGCCCGATCTTAATTCGTCAAATCGCTAGTGTTCACTGGCTTTTCATTGATTAAAGTCAAAATTTATTGAATTAAAGGTTGTTGGCAACCACTCAAATTGTGTTCGATTTCCGCGTACTAGAATGATGGCATACAGGTATCACATTCCATCACAGATGTTCATCCTTAAGACGCAGTTCACAACAATGATTATAGTTTTAAAATAAATTAAACTATAAACAACGAAAATAAAATAAAACAAACTCATACTATATTTCGCTTACAGGGATGCGACCGGTCCTGCCGAAATGTGGTCGAAATATGGTCGAATCCTGCCTGTTAACCTTTATTACTTCATTTCTTAGGACAGATGATATCTAAAACTAAAGTGTTTTTTATCTAATGTTTCGACAAATTCTACAATATAATTTTCCCATGATGTTTTCATTTCTTATCGTTCACACCGAACATTCTTGCTATCTATTTCAGAACCATCTCTGTTTAATAATAGTTAGTCACGCCCATTTACACTCTCTCGGCAATTTTGATAGCAGTCTGACAGCCCAATTTGATGACTTTGGTGAGTAGTTTGTATTGCGGAGCCAGTTCTGCCCCATGCTCTATTCCTGTGTCGTGATGTTCTAACTCCTCGTCTCGGAACTTTTTTATTATCTGAAATTAAAACTACTGTTATTATCTGAAATTGAAACTGCTGTCAAATTCTTGAATTAAACCTTTCGGGAACTAATGAAAGACAATAATATCAATGTCGGAAGTTCTTAAGCTTGTAATTTGCTTGCGTCAATGATTGATAGATAGTTGCGAGGATTACATTTAAAGCTTTAATCATTTCACTAAATTTCGGAGAAAATTGAGTACGGTTATAATTATTCTTCAAACAGTAAATAAAGCCTTATATTGCAAACACCTGTAGTAATTCTTTATATTCCTCTTCTTTACCCTGGTCAATAATTTCTCTTATCTGATCAGTGTAATGAGTTACAATAGTGTCCTCGACAGCCACAGTGCACGCCATCGCGCCCTCTTTTCCTGATAAGTTAATTACCAATTAGTGAGGAACAGACATTCCTCATTTGGCATTTAACATGAACAACATGATAACGAACAGTTTGGCTAAATTGTCGAGTTAAAAAAATCGGAAGTAAAAGTACATTTCCCCTATTTCCTGTTTAGCTGTATCACGTGACCCTTACCAATCAGGGCGGTTCCTGCGCCCAAAGCGAAACCAGCTGCCCGCCAGATGGGTAAAAGGACTGTCGGGCGGACTCGGTGTTCGACTATAAGCTCGTTCATTTTAGCTCTGTGTACTTTCTCTTGATCCCACATGTGCTGAAACAGCAAATAAACTAAGATATTAATTTGCTCCAACAATTTAGACACCATTACTTTAACTTTATTAATCATCACAAAATTCTATAGTGTACCTGTATAATAGGAGCTTCCTTGGTTCGTCCTAGAACTGCCATCTGTCCCGCGTAAATGTCATTAGCTCCAACTTCACCCGCGTGATCCACTCGTAAAAATCTCTGTATCATTTCCTCTGCCGGCTTGTATTTGTCTAAGAGATTGTTTATCATTATAGGTCTCGTAGGAAGTGTGTTAAATCGGCAATGCGCGGTTTAGAAATTCAAACTTCACAAGAAAAAACAATTAATTTTAATGAAATTGGTAAGTGTTCACAGGAGAAGAAGTTAAAAACGGATAAGTTTGCAAAACCACAAAACCTGACGGGTATTCCTCATAGTCCTCAAATTCAGGTTCGTCATTAACAGTGCTGGTATATCTGGTACAATATCGTGTACAGACTCCTACAGTTCTCACTGCTCCTCTCGCCAGCATAGCTATAGATAAGATATTTTTTAATTCTGTGTCGTCATAGCGTCAGTTATGCAGCTTAATTGTTAGACATAAATTAGTTCACCTAATCAACTGAAAAAAAGGCACAATAATTAGATTAAGTTCCAGCCGTATTGTGAGATAACGAATACTGAAGTCACGTGAAGTCATCTGAAATGAAATATTATTCTAAATGTAACGTTCAACGTCACATAGTATGCTGTAAACCGGCACAAGGAAGTCCAACTTCTATATTCGATTATTTTAGGACCGAATCAAACGAACGCGCACTCATGGCGCGTCCAATTGACGCTGAGACCTTAATAAGTTGCCCTTCGCGCGTTCCATATCAATAATTGTGAAGACCCTTTTAGCAACCTGACGTTTTTTCCGTAGTGGCCAATTATTTAAGAGTATAGAACTATAGAATTATCAATTATATAGAACTTAGTGAGACTTCAGAGTGAGGTGAGACAACATATTTATTTCATACAAAATCAAAAATGAAAGCATTCGGCTGATAACTTAACAAGGGTCACTTAAATACTCTTCGATAAAACTTGAAGAATTTACTGGCTCTTATATCTGTTTTTTGATTAATTAAGGCCAATAAAACTACACAGGAAAAGCTCAAATTCAAACTCTTGTTGTGTATACAACCGTGTATTTGCAATACAGTATACCACTTCATTAATTAACAATTATCCTAGTTGTGGTAATTCGTTAATGAGCCAAAATTCGTTACAATTTAATGCGTATGACATACATTATACAAAGTATACATAATAATCACAATCAACTACTGAATCAAAATTTCCTAAAACTTTCTACAATTTCAATAAACTCAAGTTTATGCTCTGATCATATTTTCATACTCTTTCATCTCGCCTGCATTGTCGTAGCTGTTGTAAAGTTCCCAGTCTCTGGCGATTGGTGCTGACAGCATTTCCTCTGTAATTCCAAATCCTTCGGCAAGAGTTAGTGATTCTGGAGCAATTTCTTTGACAAGTGCGTCAAAATCATCCCTGAGGCTGGCAGCTCCTCTTCGTGTGATCAGATTATTTGTCAAAAAGAAGGAAATGTTTTCCTGAAGGACAGTAATGAGGTAGAGGTTGTATAGTTTCTTTTAGATAGGCTGAATGCTGGGGTCAGCTAGTCCTATTTTCTCGTGACAAAGGTCTGAAATAAGTTTCTCGCTGTAGGCTCGTCCGGCTGCTTGTACAGAATCTTGTTCCTGTTCAGACCATTTTTCAAATCGAGCAGCTCGTGCTGCTGCTTTATCTTTGATGCTGACTTGCATTTTCCCAGCGACATTTAGAAGCAGCAGCTTCTCACGAATGTCCATAATTTTGCGGATATACTCAATATCTCGACCAGAACCACTTTTTCCTCCTCGCAGTATTACACCGGGGGTATATTTAGTAGACATCAATTTAATAGCTGCTCCCAGATTCTTTCTTGGCTTCATCTTCGCTGCCATATCAGCCAAATTTTCCATCGTAACTTTCATCATAAGAACACTGTTATCACCCTCAGCTGTCATACTGGAATGAGAGCCAGCAATAGCAGGACCGAACCTGTTTGATGCTAAATATCCCTGTCCTCCACAACGCTCTCTACCTATGGTAGCTGCAGTGTTAATATGCCATCCTGTAATTGCCTTGATAGCACAGCACATCATTACAATCTCACGATGGGACACTGTGTACACGTCTCGGTCCGGGACAGTGAACTTGGCATACATGGCTTGAATTTGTTTCAGTGCAATGTCGTAGATATAGGTTTTAGCTAGGAGAGGTATGAGGGCATGTTGTTGTAACTGGTATCCGAGGATTGGGTAATCACTTTTACCAGAGGGTCCTGCAGTTAGCCGAGTTGCTGAGTAGCGCAGTGCTATCGCCATGCAAGCTTTACTTGCACCTGTGGTTACATAATGTTGATTAGAGAATATATGACTTCAGTAATAAGTAACACAACAATTTACTGAGCTTGTAAAAATAATTGATTTCAGACTATTCAGGGCACACATCACTACATTTTAGTTCAAAGAGCTAAGAGATAGAAGAAACACAACTAACCCTGAGACATGGAAGCGATACAGATTCTGCCAGAAAGAAGCTGATCTGCTACTTTGAGGAACCTAGCTCTGTTATTTCCAGTTATCTTCGTCGTATACTCACCCCCAGCGTGCACCTGCAGGTTATAAAATTGTAAAATCAGATATAATAAAATTGTAAAATTATTTTACATCCATGGTTGAGCATTCCTTCTTCTGCTTAATTAAGATAATTATAGAATTCCTTTTGTTCCCTGGTGACTTGGTTATTCGCTGCTTATGAGTCACCTGAGATTACCAACTTTAAAATTTCTTTATGTAATTGTAGTTTTACCTCGCTCTCTTTGTTGAGAAGGTTTTCTCGAGGGACTCTGACATTATCAAATGATATTTTAGCGTTGTCAATACCATTCAGACCCATCTTAATACCCATGTCGTGTATTGTTAAACCTGTGAGGATGTAATAGAAGTAAAAGCAAATACAGGGCCTGTTAACCATTACATTTACAGTTAAATATGCGAAATAGGAGCTGAGAATAAAACAAGTAAAATGAACATTAATCTCGAGCTAATTATAAACCTGGCATAGTGTTGCCCTCATCATCTCTGATCTTAACCAGAACACCGTGAATACCATTGTTAACCTCTCCAGTGTACAACTGAGCAAATACCACCATGTAGTTGGCGTGTATTGCTCCATTTGTTATCCAGTATTTCTGTCCCTTGACTGAGGGAGTGTTGATAACAAACTCGTCCGTTTCAGGATCGTATGTCGCTGTCGTCTCCATCTCTACTGCGTTGTTTCCGTACCCCAGTTCTGACAATCCGAAACAACCGATGTTTGTTAAACTGTCGATACCGTCTAAAATCTCCTTGTGTCGCGCAGTTCCCAGTTTCAATACAGTTCCTGAAGATTGTGAGATGTAAATTAGAGTGTACAAAATGTAATAAAATATTATAATCCACCATAAAATCCAGCTGAAGAGAAGTGAAACATTTTACAAGTGGAAACACATGCCCCTTTATACATACCGCCGAAAAGATTGAACTGAACAGTCATCTTTGTAGCCGTAGCTCCATCGACAATGGAAATATTTTCGTGAGCAGCAAAAACAGCAGTGGGATTTGTTGAGAAGAAATGAACTGATATGAACTTGTTATCACAGAGCTGCTTGAGTCGCTGCAATGCAAGCTGACGTTCTTCAGCAAGCGGCATGTCATACTGAGGAACAAAGAACTTGTCTGTGCTGAGGAATTCTCGCATTCTTGCATGGAGGTCATGATTTTGGTCATCAAGAAATTCTGTCATCACTTTGGGATCAAATGAAGGATTTGGGTTCCATGCTTCACGCAGCTTGGCTTGTTCTGAAAGAGCCCTAATGGGTAAAGTACACCGCTTCAACCCAATAGATTGCAGCCTCTGTACCAGTGCCATCCTAATAACACTAGTAGGTACCTATTATAGCAGAATAAGGTTAATTATTGTTAATTACAGGAGTGTTCAATGTTTATAAATAAGCAACAGATATAAACAAACAAAAAATATAGGCCATTTCAGGCAGATGTTCCCTGAGAGAAATAACATGAATTTTATAATGAAACTAGAAAGCCTGTGGTCACAGGGAGGAAGCTAATAGTATTATTTGGTAGTCAGTTTTTATCACATCAAAAATATCCGTCACAACCGATACAGCCGATTAAAATTTAGCTCGCACTGAACACAACGTAATTACCATAAAACTGATCAAAATGTCGCTTGTAAATCTTTGCACATGCACGTACGTTTAACAACCCTCGTTACCTCACTTACCATGGTTACTATGCAGCTTGTATTTGTTTACCTAAATTGCATGTGGGTGGTCGTACATACATTCTACAGACAGAAAGAAATAATTCTTTGAATTATAATAATGATAAACTCTTCAAATTGATTCTGTTCTTTAGACCTTTTTCTGGTTGGTACAAAAAACTGCATAAAAATTCGTTGACCGGTTTTCAATTTACGCAAATTCGAAACTGGGTCACTTTAATCCTGAATTTATCTCCAAATTAGTCGAATTTTGTCATTCCTTTGTTTTGATATGCAATAAAATTATTCATCTATATATAGATGAATAATTTTATTTTTATTTATATGGCAAAAGTATGCCTTTATCGAATGAATAGTTGACTCAAATTATACTTAATTTCGTTTTTGGTAATGACCATCTGGTAAGGTTACTAAGGACTTTACTAGATGGTTACAAGACACGATTGAGGTACTGAAAGTTCTATTCCCAAAGAAAGCTTTGATAAACGGAAAATCATGACAACAGAAATCATCACAACAGAAGGAGACATTTTAGAAGATATCTTTTAATAGAAGCTTTTCTGCTGTTTCCTTGACTAAAATTTTGCGGTTTTGACTGAATTTTTTACCAGTGGCTTATCAGTGAGGTCAGTGAGAGTGACACAAGCCGCCATCAAAGTACTGGAAAATGTTAATCCAGAGAAAACTTTGATGGAAGGAAAATTTTGAAAATATGCTACCAGTAGGACATTTTCAGATTTCAGCTTCCCACGACCCAAATTTCACTGTTTTGAATTAATTTTTCTTCAATGACCATCTAGCAAGGTCTACTGAAAGTTCTATTCCCAAAGAAAACTCTGATAAACTGAAAATTATCATAATATAAAACTTTTAGAAGCTTTTTAAAAAGAAGCTTTTCTGCCAACTCCTTCACCGAAATTTTGCGGTTTTGACTGAATTTTTGACTAGTGACAAAAGTCATCATCAAGGTATTGGAAGCTGTATACCCGGAGAAAGCTTAGATGGAAGGAAAACTTTGAAAATTTCCTACCGGTTGTGGTGGGACATTTTTAGATTTCAGCTTCCCGCAACCCAAGTTTCACAGTTTTGACTGCATTTTGACCAGTGACCAGTCAGTGAGGTCTGTGTGAGTTGCACAATTTACCATCGAGTTACTGGAAGGTGAATTTTCGGAGGACAGAGGGCACTTTTTTTCGTAATTCCAGATATTTTTTGTGAAAATCGTCTAAGTTGGCAGGAAAATACATCATACTACTACCTAACATTTGATAAAATAGTTAATAAAACATAATTTCTATCAGGACCCATTTCAGGTGAAAACCATGAAAATATCGTCAACGTTCATACACCCATTAATAGCGTTTCAGCATATTTTTTTAACTTAAATTTTTTTTTACTTATTCATTTAGTATAGTTATATCAGAGTTTCTGTGATTGAATATATTTTGTTGATTAAAAAACATATAATTTGTGAAAAACATGAAAATATCGTCAACGTTCATAAACCCATTAATGGGGGGGGGGGGGGGGTACCACTGTCCATTTTGTCCATTTTGTCTTTTTCTTTTTTTACATTTTTTTGTGAAGGACAGTGTTTTGGGGACAGAATGGACAATACTAGGGACAAAAGGGACAAAAGGGACAAAAATTTTGGACAAATGAGACAAAAAATTAGACAAGCTCAAATGTAGAGAATGTATATATATTCTACTCGACATCAACAATTTAGATTTTCATGTCAGTGTTTTGCTGTACTTAGAATCAACTGAAACCACTTGCACTGAAGGGACTGAAATAAGCAGAATTCATCAACGGCATCACATAAATGAATGCGTACACGGTTCAGTCAATATTTCATTAATCCCATTAATCAAGTGGTGATATCAAAAAAGTCATCATCTTTTAATATCATAACGCTCATAGCGGCCAGAAGCAGATACCCAGACCCACACAATTACTTACAAAAACTTATGACTGAAAATCACAGCTGAAAAAGAAGCTAAATGTTAACAACTGTGGAACAAGAAGGAACGCTTCCTCAGACACAGGAAGCATAAAGAATCGACACCCTGTACCCTATCGGAAATCAGCGACTTCTCTAGCTCATCAGACGAAGAGAGCTGTTAGCAAAACGAAATTGTTAACAATGTATAATTCTGAATTTTAAGATTTTGAAATAGATAATCCCGATAATCAGTCTCATCAATGTCTGCCCTTAATCCATATTCAATCTAATAACTAGCTCTAGAACTAAACAGAGTATAAGTAGTTATATCTCTTCCTCTGTATCCCCTCAGTGCAATATTAGTTGTCTTGCTTTTTGAGTGTTGTTTGCAATGCAAGTTCAGCTCAAACGTCAAATGTGAATCAGTGAGTGAGCAGGCATATCGGACTAGACCAAGTTGTCTTGAACAGTGAGTACACTAAGGCCGATATATAACCAAGATTGACTTTACTGTTCTGTCTGAATTTACCCAACTTATTAGCTTGTTGGAACTGTGCCTGAACTTATTTTGTCCCTGTCTTTTTGTCCATTTTGTCCTTTTTGTCCCCATCTTTTTTGTCTTTTTTGTCTTTTTTGTCTTTTTTGTCTTTTTTGTCCCTATTATCCTTTTTGTCTTTTTTGTCCCTTTTGTCCCTCTTGTCCCTTTTGTCCCTTTTGTCTTTGTCTTTTTTCAGTTTTTATTGTGCAGGGATAAAATGGACAGTGGTACCCCCCCCCCCCCCATTAATAGCGTTTCAGCATATTTTGTTTTACTTCAAATTTTGTTTTACTTGTTCATTTAGTATAGTATAGTTATATCAGAGTTTCTGTGATTAAATATATTTTGTTGATTAAAAATATATATATTTTGTTGACACACAATAATATGAAGGACTTGCATACAAGGATACAAAAGTGATGATTAGATTACTTTATTGAGGGCATCAATAACTGCCCTTGCTGACATAATAACAACAAAACGGCTGCGTTGGTTTGGACATGTCAGTAGAATGCCTGAAGATCGGTTGCCCAACTATTTACTTGAATGGAAACCCAAGCATGGGAAGAGATCAAGAGGCAGGCCTAGGAAGAGCTTAAATGATGTATTCATTGAGGATGCTGAGCAGAGATTGGATCGTAATGGACTCACGATTGATTGTATGAGAAGATTAGCTGCAGACCGAAAGGGATGGAGAAATGTTACCCGCCGAAGTTGTATAATACAAAGTAATGACGCAGTCGACGCAGACTAATCCTTTTGGATGGAGATCTCGCCATGTAACATGTAACATGTATGTATTGAGTACACAATAGTTGTAGTTCTGAAATAATTTAAGTTACACAATTCTAATTATTTACAAATGTGTACTGTGTAGGGATGATTTAGAAATGTTATATAAAACTTCTTTTTTTTAATTAAATCGAGTTTGTATGGTTCAATTTTATTTTAAGGTCCTTTAGCATTATGCACTTGCCAGTATTTGAGTGGAAATCTGGGTTCTTATAAAAGGCTGTATATTGTTTGTTCACAGAGAGAATTGAATGGATTGCTCTTGTTGTGGCAGTAAATTTTATAGGATCTAGAGTTTTAACACTCACCTAATTGGGACTTAAATACGTTTAAGCCACTAGATAAAATCTACAGTGCGCATGAGAAAGAGAAGAAAGATCTGTATGAAGAGAGTGTATTTCAGTCAGAGAAAGGGTCCCACTAGTCTTTACAACATCTGCACTGGAGGTATGGGACCACTCTGCACTGTGTTTGTAGATCATATCTCTGAGATGATAGCTAACCACAATAAAGAAGCTAAGAGCCAGGTCAAAAATCACATCCCCACATCCAGAAAGTTTAAAATTTCCTCGCAGATACAAATTTTCTGTTTTCTGTGGCCCGCTTGGCGAGTGAAACAATTTCGGCGAGTGAAACAAGACAGTCTTAAGCATTTGGAGCTAGGCCCCAGAAAAAATTTTGGGTTTTTGCTTGGCCACATTAAAATCTGCAATATCAAAATATCTGAAGTCCTTCAAAATAGTGTATTACAAAACGGCTTTCTCCTACAACCCACAAGTAAAACATGGCCAGCTTGCACCATCTGTCGTAGTTATCACAAATTATTATATGTGCCTTGCAGAGTAGAGGCAACCATACCCTGAGAAATATAGAGTGCATACAACTTAAACTTTCGCACAGACAGGAATTGAAGATATGTTTGCCGCAGGCAAAAATTCTTGATGATTTTGCCCACACAGAAGGCCTAGAAGCAATTTGGCAATAGAGATCATTTTCAAACACAGTTTCAAGAACGATTCAAAGAACTGTTAGTTTTTTCCTCTTTCATTTGACAACAATTTTGGATTGTTTTTAGAAAATCTCCTCTTTACCCCAGAAAATTCATGGTAAAATGTTTCAAAATTCAGATCGTAGACTTTATAAATTTCCTCTTTGGCACCGAAAATTTCCTCCGAAATCGAAAATTTCCTTGTAGATTATCTGCTGGTTTGCTAAGGTTTCTGGCTGTGGGATCACATCCCCTATCAAGATTGCTGAGAAAGTGCAGTGATACTGGATTTTGGGCATTTGAAAGTGTGATTGTCACGTGTCACGGGGGGGGGGGGGGGGGGTGATTTTTTGGCCTCGTTCAGCATACCCTGTCAAACTGCAGTATAAC